ATGGCTGCTCGGTGCAGTTGCCCACAGCTCTGCAGCCCAGCCAGCTGCCTGCCTGCCCTTGGCAGTGCTCGCCTCCTTCCCTGCCCCAGCTGGGAGGATGCCCTTGTGTCACGGAAGAGCTCCCCAGGGGGCTGGAGGTGGGGATCCGGGGGAGGAAGAGGAAAGCCCTCTGCAAGCTGACCCTGTATGACAACTGCCCAGTAAGGAAGGACAGGAGGGTGACAGCCTGGTGCCTTTGCACCCACCTCATCTATTTGGGTTTTCCTCCCAGCCCTGCATGCTCCTCCTTTACTCCTTCAGTCCTGGGCAGTCCTGCTCATCTTTCTCTGTTTATCCAGGCCCACATGGGCAGCTCATGTGTTTTTTTTAAACTTTTTGTGTCTTTGCTTCTTATAAACTATGCAAGGGTAATTATTTTGAACTTCTGGGGAGTCTCACTGTAGAGATACTCCCCAGCAAGGACAACCCATCTCAGACAGCAGCTCTTTTCCCAGGGACGGGCCGGCTGCAATGGGAAGAGGCTTCAGCATGCTCCAAGTTCCCTTCCAAGAAACATCACCAGTTTGGACCTCTCCTTCAACTCCTTGGTCGTGCCCCATGACAGGACTCTCCTGATGCATTTCCCTTCCCTGCGCTCTCTCAACCTCTCTAGCAATGCCATGCCATCTCTGAGCCCAGCAATCTTCTCCAACCTCGGGGCGCTGCGTCTGCTGGACCTGAGCAGCTGCGGCATCACCTCCCTCCACACGGACACTTTCCAGGGCCTGGGAAACTTGCACACACTGCTCCTAAGAAACAACAGCTTGCAGGAGCTCAATGTCCCTTTCCTCCTGCCACTGAAGGCTCTTTTCCACCTGGACCTGCAGCACAATGAGCTGGTCTCAGTGGACACTTGGAGCCTGCAGCTGATGGAGACGGTCCCGCAGGTCCGTCTGGAAGGGAACCCCTGGGTCTGTGACTGCACCGTGCAGCCCCTGCAGCAGTGGCTGCAGCGCAGGAAAGGTGAGACGATGGGGCAGCTGGCAGGAGAGGTGTCGGGCAGGAGGAACCCTGGGTTAGGAGTCCTGCTTGATTCTTTTACTCCAACCCCTGGGCAGGCTCTGAGATGGCTCTCCAGAGACCTAGCAGGATAATTTAGTCACTCTTCCAGGAAAGGGGTTGCATGTACACTTCAGCCCCTAAATCCATCATTATGTAACTTTGTAGAGTGACTGCATTTTCAAGAGCTGCAGAGGGCTTGGCAGCTCCTCCTGTGGAGGCAGATCTGACTCCAACCATCTGAGCTCAGCTCCCAGGGGAAAGCAGTGCAGTTCCTATCAACATCCATGATTTTGGCATTAGTCAGTTAAAAGGAGCCTGATAATCACAGTCACACACTTGCACAGTTCCTTGGTCAGGGAATTTTTCCTTTGGTTGTGCCTTACAATATGCTAAGGGCTGGTGAGGCTGGAGGGCAGAGCCAGGAGCACTTTGCAATGCGTCCCATCCACCCGGGAGCAAGCAGGGATCGTCTTCCCCAAACTGGGAGGGGATGGGTGAAGCCCCCTGTCTCACCTTAGCCCACTTGTCCCCCAGCCGTGCAGGTGACCTGCGTGTCGCCCCCGGGGCTGCGGGGCCAGGAGATCGCAGCTCTGGATTCCCAGGACCTGGGCTGCCGGACGAAGCACCGCTTTCCTCGTGCGCTCAGCACGGCACAGCAGATCACAGTGACCCAGAGCAACAGTAAGTTGTGCAGTTTCAGAGGTGTCTGTAAGGTCTAGCTCCCTCCTGCCCCCTGTCATAGTGGAGGGACCGCGGGTGGAGACACAGTGCAGATGTGCAGTGGCTTGGTGGGGAGGGTGGTCACCGCCTGGAGGTGCTTGCTGGCTTTGTGACAGAAAAGTTAGCAGGTGCCCCAAAGCCACATGGAGCACAGATTCCACAGGGGTGGGCACCAGTGTCAGACAGCTGTCAGCGACTTTGCCCTCAGTGCTCACACACCCTCGGTGAAGAGCATTTATAGTGTTCCTAAGGAAGGCAATCCCATGCTGGCTGCACCCTGCAGACAGGCACAGGGCTGGCAGATGGGGAGCACTGGGTGTGCCACAGGCTGACCGTGTGCCTTTCCTGTGCCACAGCCACCAACACCACACTGCCTGCCACCATGAAGGGGGGAAAGAGCTGGCCATACTTGGTGGCATTCCTGGTGACAGCAGTCAGCATCTCCATCCTGATCGCAGTGGCTGCCAAGTGCAAGCTCGTCCACAAGAACTTCGCCAGCTACCGCCACCGACCACTGCCTGAGATCAGCTCCGTCGGAGGCAGCCCCATGGAGGACTGCAGCGGCTGGGACAGGGGCTCCTGCGGCAGCCAGTCCATGCAAGCTGACCTGCAAGCTGAGGATGATGATGGCTTCATCGAGGACAACTACATCCAGCCCAGCGAGCAGTTGCCAGACAAACAGGAGCGGGACTTGAATCTCTCTGTCTGAGCTCACAACCAGCCACCACTCCTGCAGCCTCTTGTCATCTCTGTAGCTCCATCCCCTTGCCTGTTGACCCCGCATGTTTGGGGGCAGGAGGAAAGGAGCAGAGAGGAGGGGAGAGAGGGATGGCCAGGGAATGGTGCTGGAGGCTGAAGGCAGCCAGCCCCACAGTGCCCCAGCACGACACCGACAGGCTGCACGGTCACAGGGACACCAGACCTGCTGCTGCTGTCCCAGCCTCGCTCGGATGCTGAGGATGAAGGAGATGGTGCCCATTGTGCCCAGGAAACCTGGTGCAGTGGGAGGAGGAGCCTGCCCTGGTGTTGTCTGCGGGGTCCTGGGCACTGACCCCACTGCACCAGACCCAGCCCTGCTCTGTCCCTCAATGCGTTGTCACTCTGGGGTGTGATTAAAGCATGATTTAGCCCTGCCTCTGCCTGCAGTGGTTTGTTGGGTCTCTCCCGTGGCAGTGCTGGGAGGAGACCCCCAGCCCCACAGCTGGGGTGTGGCTTTTTTTGCACGTGCTTTCAAGGACCATAAATACATTCCTCGTTAGCTGCGGCAGTGAGAGAACAGGTCGGTGGCACGAGTGCCCTTGTGCAGACCGATCTGTCACCTACTGTGGTGCAGGCACCCCTGGGACACTGTCACAGTGTTTCTGTGCGTGTCTCTCCAGCGTTGCTTCGCAGTGTTAGACAGGATGACCTCAGAGGTCTTTTCCAACCTAAATGTTTCTATGAATCCGTGATTCCCACTGTAGCCCTTCTTCCTTTTCCCTCTTCCCTCTCCAGCAAAACATGCTGAAAGACACTTACCTTTCCCCTGTCACGAGCAAATTTTTCAGTGGTGCCAGCTGCAGCGTCAGGCGGCCACGAGTGCTGGGGCGAGACGACCCCGTCCCCCGGCTCCCATTACAGAGTCCTGTGTGCATCTCCAACCGTGGAGTTACAGGGACACGGTAATTTTTGCATTCCTGTCATCTTTGTGGTACGATAAACAGCACATGAGACGCAGGTAACTGCAAGTTGTGTCTGCTGTAGTCGGTTGTGCCTGCATTGGTTATGCTGGAGTTAAAAGCAGGGAGCAGCAGCAACATTCACCCTCCCTGGTAAGTGATTCATAAGGCTGGTACCATCCGGCCGGGAAGATTTCCCAGGGCACAGCCCAGTCCTTACCGTGCCTGATAGCTCGGGAATCTCTTCCTCATGCTCCAGAGCGTGAAGTATCAACACAGGGGGACAGCATTTCTTGCAGCCCTGCCACACACAGTCAATTCCCCACCTCCTTCAAATCTCTGTTTCACTGTTAACTCTCTGTTTCTCCACTCATTAAGACATTTATAGAGCACAGTTTATACAAAGGTAAATAATACACCTCGGAGAGTGTGAACCAAAGAGGACAAATGGCTCAGGCACTGGATGGGCAATACAGCCCAGACAGCAGATGTTGACATTTGAAGCCATGAGGAGGAGGAAAACTTGCTGGCTTCCTCTCAGTGGTCAGCCAGTTTTTGCTCTTAAATGCCGTATTTCTAAACTGAGCTTTACTTTTTCTCATGGTTTGCCTTCCGGGCTCTTCAGCTACCCATGTATACTACACTATATACGGTAATTTTGGGGAATTTTTGTTATCTTTCAGGTAAGATAGGAGACTAATCTGAGGGCTGGGAAAATGCATTTCAGTTATGTTTCAGAGGGTATTTTCTGGGCTTTTAAACATGCTTTTCAAGCACATGAACTCACGCTAGATGCAGTATTTTCTTTTTAGTCTCAGTGATGTCTTAAAAGAGACTAAATCTGCAAGTGCCCAGGCTTATTTATCCAGGATCTCACTTACTCTTGTCCCTCAGTACCTAGTGGTGGGTTGCTTGTCTACTTGGACCCAGCTAGAAGTCCCGCCCATTTATTTTTTTAACCAAGCTGACATGTCTGGTTTTCACGTGCGGTTTTTAATGCCTTCTCTCCAGGCAGCTCCAGTGCAAGTGGGCAGGAGCCTGGCAACTCACAGGGAGGGAAATACAGCTGACCTGCAGAGCTGGGAATACAAGGGGTCAGAGCAGAAAAAGAGGATCCTTCTTGAGGGGGTCCGCCCAGGAAGCTGCTGTGGCTGAGGCTGGGGATGGGACAGGGAGCAGGTATGCAGGCAGACTGGTTCCAGGCTCCTTGCAGGGAGCAGCTGCTGCCACAAGGCTCAGCCCTGCCACAGGGTAAAAGAGCTTCTCTGTAAACAAACCAGCCAGCACTGACATATTCAGGAAGCTTTTTGTGCTCCATGGGAGCATCTTTCAAGGGTCATGGCGAGGTCACAGGTTCACAGAGGGGATCTGGCTACACCTGGGTCATTCAGCAGAGGAAGAAGGACCTGCATTTGGAGGTGGGGGTCATGTAGCAGGAAATAAGGTTTGGGGGCTGTGGTGGCACAGCCACAGGAGGGACCCCGGGCTGTCATGGTTTCTGCCCTGGGCTCAGCCCTGCAAAGCCCTGCCACCTCCTGCTCTGCAGAGAGGCCAGCGCTCAAGCATCAGCCTTCAACACAGTCGGCTTCTCTAACACTTTATTATGTATTTCCACACACAACACGGGAGCTAAGGAAGACACAAACCAGTACCCCTGCTGCAGAGGTGTCAGTGACTGGGGCAGCGCAGGCTGACCCTCTGGGCACCGGACACCCAAACCATCATCTTCAGGCACAGCCTGTTCTCAGCCATTCTCTCCTCGGGTTGCTGATGTGGCCCACGATCACCCTTGTCCGGCACAATTCACAGGCACTTGGAGCACATTCTGGAGGGGCTGTGGAGGGGAGTAGGACTCACAGTGGCATTCAGGCAGCGCGGAGCTGCGAGCTGGGCACAGTCACGCATCTTCACAGCAATGCCCAGATGTGCAAAACAGCTGGGGCAGAGGCAGCTGTGGCCTGTCCACACGTGCGGGCTGGGGGAGTGGGGAGTGACTGCTGGAGCGCTGATGCAGCCAGAGGGGGTGCAGCCTGGCACAACTGCACAGGCACTGACACAGACGTGCAGAGCACCAGCAGTGGTGATGGTGCAGAGCTCAGAGCAGCTCTGGCCTGTCCCTCCCTGTGTATGCACAGTGGTCCCTGCTGGACCTGGGGCTGAACAGCCCAGAGGGGAAGGACAGCTCTTTGCTCTGAAGAGATTTAGCACAGAAAAATCTGATCTCAGCAACACCCTCTGAGCTCTTGAGCAGATTAAGGGAGGAGATGCAGAGAGAAGAGGAAACAGCAGTTTAATAAAACCTACAGATGAAGTGCAAGTGGCAGAGGAAAATGTAGGAATAACAGAGATACAGAAAGGAGAGCCCAGATGATGTATCCATACTTTAGGGGAAACAATCCAAGGCTTCAGGGGAAGGAAAGCCAGTCGGAGCAGGGCAAGAGCAGATGAATACAGGTGTGCCCTCATGCGATCTCACTGCACCAGGGACAGTGTGGTCTGGAGCTGTGAAAGGATGAAGCCTTCATTGCCCAGCATATACCTTGTGGGGCTCACTGATGGTGAACTCTGACACTGCCTCCAGGTGTGGAGACAGTGACTTGTGCTTTTAGTAGAGGAATGAGCTACCATCCTCTTCCAAATGAATTTGCTACCAAGCACTTCAAAATAATAGCTCAGTCTTGTGCCATTGCAGAGGAAACTTGGCAAATAATGAGCAAAAACAACATCTGGGGCAGGGCAGCTCAGATGAGGGGGAGAAGGGAGCAGACAGGAAGATGAAGAGAAGGTTGTGCAGGAGCAGCTTTGCTAGGAGGTTAAGATCTATGTCAATGGAAAGAGCAGGAAATGGGTTAGTGGGTCTCTGAAGGAAATGTGAATTTTGATACGTAAATTAGTTTTAAGTCACAGGAAAAGCTCCCAAGGTGAATTGTTAGTCTGTCTCTGGGAAGGACACCTTAGAGATAGACACCTTGTAGAGATAAAACACCAAAAAAAGCCCCAGGTAAGGCCCAAGAGGCAGCAGAAAAACTTTTTTGCCCTTCAGGAGCTGCAGCACTTGCTAGACAGAAACAGCATAGAAACAGGCAGGGACTGGGATGAGCTGCAGGGCTCCTGGCAGCAGAGGTGCCTCTGCTTGGGAAACTGCAGTGGGAGGGCACAGCGCTCCCCCCTCACACCACTCTTGCAGAGAGCACCAGCCCCGGGATTCAGGCATTCCATCACCATCCCCCAGCCACTGCACCTTGCTGTCTGTGGCTCATGTGGCTGATGCTGGTGTGATAACAGAGCCCCAACACACAGTCCAGCATGGATAACCTGTCAGGGCCCTGACACCCCTTGATCACCCCTTTGATAAACCACAGGTGATGGTGGGCTGCAGGAATGTAAGGCTGGAACAGATCCTGGCATTGCAAACACAAACAGAATTTCATGTGAGGTTCCAGCCATGCTGTGGCTCTGGCACAAAGAATCCCATACAAATCCCACACTCACTCCCACAGACACACAGGTGCTTTTTCTTGGGAGCAGGCCCTGCAGCCATACCTCCCACCAGGCTCCCTTTGCCTGTGCCTCATGCCTGCTGACACAGAGTATTCCCTGCCATTCCCCAGCTGCTAGAGGCTCTACTTTGCTCAGGAGCTGGCGGCCCTGCACAGAGCACAGGGTGGTTTTACACCACCCACAATCACAGCCTCTCCTGCCAGGAGAGCGCATGGCAGCTCCGGGACCTGCAGGAACCAAGCAAGTACTGGGGTCCCCAGGGGTACAGGACAGGCTCACCTTCACTCTGTGACACAGGTCAGGAGCAGCTGTCACAGGAGGTTTGAGGAGATAAAACACCAACCAGGCCAGCACTGCACTCCCAACACACCAGGTCCCAGAGCCCGTCCAGGCACCCCGAGTCTCTGCTGTGCCATCAGCAACGCAAATGCCAGCAAATCCCCGGCCAGAAGCACAAGGCACATCGCAGCTCCCGCCCTTCCTTCGGGAAAGGCCAGCACTGACGGGTCCTGGCTCAGGTGTCCCAGCTCAGATCAGGTTGGCCATGCTGGAGGTGGGAGGAAGCCGCCTGTTCCCAGCGAGGCGGCCGGAGATGGTGAAGACGCGGATCTCGCCCGCCTCCAGGCTCCGAGGGGCGGCCCGGCGGCAGGAGGTGCAGAGCAGGTAGAGCAGCAGGCAGAGCAGGATGGCGCTGCCAGCAGTCAGCAGGACCACCCCGCTGGTGAACATGCTGGCCAGCGGCCGTGCGGGGCTGAGCTGCATGGTGGTGGTGGAGAGGACGGTGAGCACCAGCCCGCAGATCAGCAGCACCAGGGCGCTGAGCAGCAGCACCAGGCAGTCCGAGAAGCCCCCGCTCTTGAGGAGCTCGATCTGGTCCCGGCTGCGGATGCAGTTCATGTCCTGGATCGCAGAGCTCAGCAGCTGCTTCAGCAGCACGAGCAGGGCCAGGAGGCAGAGCGTGGTGCCCACGGCCAGCCGCCACTCTCCGGACCGGCTGCTGGTGCTGTACAGCAGGATGATGCCCCCGATCCCACAGGCCAGGATCAGCACCACAGCCATCCCATAGCACAGGATCGACTTTTTGGGGTCCTGGAACCACCAGAGCTCCACATGCTCCTCCAAGATGTTCCTCTGGATGTGGTCTGCGTCTGCAGGGGTGCGGGGGCTGCTCAGCTCCGCCAGCTCTGGCATGGTGGGCAGCTGGGTGAGGAGGGCACAGTGGGGTGGTTGCACAGATGGATCTACACCCTTATGGCGAAGTGGAGGGTCAAGGTAGCTGCATTTCTCCAGCAGTGATGTCTCTGGATCTCATTCTTTGGATCCTCATGGAGCTTCCTTGTGCAGTGGTGCCACCTGAAGAGCTACGGTCCACGTGCTGAAATTGAGCCCACCACCCAGGCACGGCTGTGGAACATGGTGGAGCAGCACCATAAGGGAATAACCGGGGCTGTGTCCTTCCTTTCCTGTGCCTTTCATCTGAAAGAGTCAAGAAGAGAAGATTTCATTAAACAGAGACCCTGCTCCCCTGCACCAATCAATCAATCAATCAATCAACCAGTCAATCTCCTGCTGAACCCTGGGCCTTGGCTGCTCCAGGCTGGCCTGCAGACCTCACTCTGCCTCCCTCACAAAAGCCCTGTGCGTTGGAGAACAGATCATCCACACACGTCTTCCCAGGAGACCTCCACGCACTTCAGGGGAACCTCAGCCTGGCCCAAGGGCGAGTGTCCTGCCTCCCCAGCCCCGTTCGGAGGCTACTGGCACACTGCTGCCCACAGGACTCTGCCTGCAGCTGGTGCTGGCAGCAGGGCAGGGACGGAGCAGAGGCAGGTCCCTTCTGGGATAAAGCCCCATTCACAGCTCTGGCTTCACATGCTCCCTCATCAGCATCAGCCTCTTGTCACCAACTGGCTCTGCTGCCCAGAAGGACAGCAGGAGGTGGGGGTCAGGACCAGGGTTTAACCCTTCCATTCCAGGCGCTGGAAGAGCGAGAGCTGCCCTTGCTGCACGTTCTCAGCCTTGTCCCTACCCCTGCACTGCCAGTGGTTTCCCCTCACAAGTTCCTTACAGAAATGCGGTGGTTACATCTCCAGTGGCCTCAGCACTGCCCTGGAAAGAGCTGTCTGACAGCTGGGAACAGGCACCCCGAGATTTTGCTCTCCTCTCTGCTGGTCCATGAAACACTTCACCGCTGGAGGGGAGCAGGGGAAGGGTGGTGGTGGCTGCAGCGGTGGAGGGAGGCTCTGAGGTGCTGTGCTTAGCTGGGCTCCCCTCGGCACAGCACCTTTCTCAGCCCACAGCCTGGCTTCCCAGGCTCACGTCCCCAGTGTCCTGGTTCCCCTCAGTGCTTCTCTGGGTACAGTTTTACACCAAGAGTGGAAAAAACTTGCATTTCTCTCACATAATGTGCCTCCCTGGCACGTCAGTGCCCCAGCTGGTCCCACAGCACCACAGGGACCCTCTAGAACAGCTCGTACCCAAATCAAGGAGAGGTGCTGGGGAGGACAGGACGGGAGCATCTCAGGTGTGCCCTGAAGACATGGGGCAGACCCTGGAGACCCTGCCTCTGTGGCCACCTCCCAGATGGGATGATTCCCCCTTGACCACCACAGGCACACACACACAAACTGCTCTGAGCCCTGCAGGAGCCCGTGGCAGGGACAGGAACTGACGCAGGTCCCTTGTGTCAGAGCTGTGTCACTTCTCCCGGGTGGGGGGACGGCCACTCAGCACCCTGCCTGCTGGAAATGGCTCTCAGGAGCCCGTCAGCCCGTGCCAAGCACACTCTGTTTGTCTTCGTGCCCTGCCCTGTGTGGCGCTGGGACTCGGGGCTCGTTACACACGGGCAGGGACAATTTGTGACCTCCACGCATGGCAGCTCTGCACACACCAGGGATCTTTCCTCCCATCGCTCTCCCTGTCCCCACACCGTCTCCACAAACCACAGCCCCTCACGACATCTCAAAAACCCCCTTCCCTTGGGGCCCGGCCAACGCGGGGTGTGGGGAGAGGGAGGACAATACTGGGGGGGGTGCCCGAACCAGACACCGCCTGACAGTGTCAGGCCAAGCTCCTCCTGAGTCACTCCCCGGCTGTGATGGGGCATGAGGTCACTTTGGACGTGGCTCAGGGCGCGCTGCCAGAGACAGCACGTGGCCAGGAAGTCCGCAAGCACCGCGGGCTTGCAGGCCCGGCACCCATCGCGCCCCGTGAGCTGCACACGGGGCTGCTCCCTGCGCGGCTCCCGCTGCTTGGATTGCCGGGGCTGGGGCACAGGAACCCAGGCTCCAGAGGGTACACTTGCTGGGAGGCCTGTGAGAGGTCTACAGCTCCTGGGTAGAGCCAGAACAGTCAGAAGGCATCAATTAGAGAGGGAAAAGCGCTGTGGCTGAGCAGGCTGATCTGTGCCTGCTGGGACTCCGAGTCTGCATGAGGCAGCAGGTACCCTATGCTGACACCCCATGTCCACATGTGCCCAGGACACAGGTCCCTGAGAAGGTGAGGATGTCACGGGGCACTTTCAAAGCAGAGGAGTGGGAAGATGTTGAGTCTGGAGTTGTTTCCCAGCCTATGCAAATCAGCCCTGGTGCTAAACACTGCTTCCTCCTGCCTCTCCTTCTCCAAGCACAGAGGTGCCTTATCTCCTCCTCAGCATCAAATGGGTGAGTCTGGTAGATAGCAAGTTTGTAGATTAGATTGAGATTTTCGACTAAGAAAGCATAAAGCTTGGAGAAGTGCCAAGTCTGTGTCCTTCTGCTGCTTGACCCAAGTTGTGCACACAAGTTGTGAGTCAAACAGTAAACAAAAAAAACCACAACAGTACAAACCACAATGAGGGAAAATGTGACCAAAAATCAAGCTACAGCACTGCATTCTTGCGTTACTTTTTAAAAGTTAACCATTTGAGTTTTTTAGTTGCTCAGAAGGAGGATGGAGCAAGGTAAAAGTGTAAGAGCATCTGGCTGAGGAAAAAAAATAAGGTTGTCACCTCTATGGGCATGTATTTTTCAGTGTTATATTAACCTCTATTAAACAAATGATTTGGAGAGTTTCCCAGTGTTACATTAACCCCTATTAAACAACTCATTTGGAGAGGCAAAGGCTTCCACTGCAGTGTACTTTCATGTTTCCTTCTGTCAGTTTGAAAATGTTCTGGGAGTATAATCTTTATTCTGCAAGAATCCACTCTTGCTCGGGCTTCTCTAGACTGTGAGGGTTTGTGCTGCTAATAACAGTATTTTTACTCTTACAATCACACTACTGAACCCAGAACCTTCAGTGCTTCCATCTCTGTATGCAAGATAAAAAAGAGGAGAGGACCAGCCACACTGTGCTTAATGTCCAAGGGTCACATTTCAGGAAAAAATTGACACTCTGTCCTTCCCCACTGCTGGTTGGCAGGTGGGGAGGAAGAACACGAAAACACTGGGAATGTAGGAAAACAAAAATGTTCATGTTTTCCCTTTTTCATTATTGGTTTTTTTTTTTTTTTTCCCCACTCTGACAACATTTAACTGGAAACTGAGGGTCATCATCAACAGTTTCCTGGCCACTCCTGGCTGCAGGTGTGGAAGATGCACACTGGCTGAATGCCTAGAATGATACATGCATGTATTTATTTACTTATGAACTTTTTATGTCTGACTGCCTGATTTATCTGACAGACAAGCCATGCACTGTATGTTAACTATCACTTTAATTTCAGAGTCACATACAGTTTATACTCCTCACTTCCCTCCTCTCCCTGAACCCAGGGTACCCCTTTGAGACATTCCTTACCCACAGGATTCAGGAGAGGAAGTCTGGGGATGGGACAGGCTCCTGCAGTGCTTCCTTGTACTTCCAGCCTTGGAAGGGTTTTATGCAGCCTTATGTGGGCTTCGTGAGCATCGTGGAGACTGGAAGAGTCAGCAAGATTTGCTGTAAAATAACAATACACGAAATGATTTGCATGAGCAATCTAGATGAGAGCTGCTAACAGAGCCTCACAATCTTAAACAAATTCAAGCCACATCAGTCCCCTGCTTCCCCAGTCCCTCACAGCTTATTTGCTTCTTGGCCAGATCTGGCCATAGCCTGTTTGGGATGGACTTGCCACCCCTCTGTGCCTCACAGAAACCTTTAGACCAGAACAGGCATAATTCTTTTACCATAATTTCATGTAATTTTTCCAACTTCCAGTGCTTTAGGAAGCATTTCTTTAATGACAGAGTCAGCCTTGAATTGTTGTAGATCCCTTCCAACCAAAACAATATATTCTATTCTGTCTGCTGTATTCTAGTTTGTCTACTCTATTCTGTCTATTCTGTTCTATTTCAATTGAAGAGGGCCTAAAATAATAATCTAATCCAATTGCCTGACCAATTCAGGTATATTATTAAGAGCATTGCCCAAATGCCTCTTAAATACTGACAGGCTTGGAGTATTGACCACCTCTCTAGGAAGGCAGTTCCAGTGTTTGACCATCCTCTCACTAAAGAAATGCTTCCTAAGCATATTCAGTTCTATTCTAGACCCCCAGTAGGCTAAAAGAGAATGAAGCTCATGTACCTTGTTTTACGCCTGAATTACTGACAATGCACAAAATCAGATGCTCTGAATGTCACGGTGCTCAAGGCCTGTCTGTGCCCCTGGGAGCACGTGGGAAGGTTCCCTCTCTTCTCCTGAGAACTCAGCACTGGGGACAGAGGAACCTGCACAGAATGGGAGTAATGGGGCCTCTATGTGGCATGTCTGTCTCACCCAAAATCCTAGCAAGAGACTCAAGCTCTTTGGCTGCTCCATCAACCACCAATTCCTAGCATTCCCCCTTTCCCAGGCTTCTCAAAATCCATGCAAAGCTGTGCAGGTTAATCAGTGCCTCTGGGAAGAGACCACCCTCTCTACCCTGCCAGAGGGATAATGCTTTCCCAGAAGTGAGCATCTGTCCCACCAGTGCTCCTGCCACCAGACATCCTTTGGGAAGCCCCAGGGAAGCCCTGGGTGATGGTGGACTGTCCCTTCCTTTCTCCAACCCTAGGGCCTCAGGGGTTAAGGGTGGTGGAGGGCTTGTACTAACAGGGTCAGTGTGCAGCTGGTTTTTACACAAATCTAGACAGCTTTGGCATGCTCCATTATAAAGTCCATTATCCTGACCCCGCAGAGCCTGTCCTCACGCACCTCTGCCGAGGGTCGTCTGGGAGTCCCAGAGGGACAAGAAACTCCCAAGCCTTACCTGCTGAGAGGAAACACAATGGTGCAAGGAAGAAATACAGTGGAGGCAAGAGGCAGGGTCTCTTAAGAAGTAGGTCTGAGGCAACCCCTAAACCTGCCGGCAGCTCCTGGCGAAGCGCAGCTCCCGGGGAGGAGGGATCGATCACTCACCTGCTGCCCACACGCGACAACCCAGCACAGTTTCCTGCTCCTGGCTGGCAGCAGCGCTTTTTCCTGGCTTTCCTTCCACTGGATCCAGCTACTGGGGGAAAAATCTCCTCCTTTCCTCCTGCAGCCACCTGCCAAGCAGCAGGTGCGGTGGCCCTGCCGGTGCCCGTCCCGGTGCGGCAGCAGCAGCAGCCAGGGCAGGCTGCGAGCCCTCACCTCTCGCCCGGGCAGGTGCATTCCCCAGCAGGGTGGTGTCTCAGCAAACCTGCTGCTGCTCTTGGACCGGCTCCAGAGCCGCGCCGGGGTGCAGGTGCTACCCCTCCCTCCTCGGGCAGGATCTGGCCTCTGGCCACACACCGATCCTGGAAGGTGGCTCATTTCCTCCCAGCTGGAGGGGAAAGGGGTGCCGGAGC